AGAGAGAGAAAGAGAGAGAGAGCGAGAGAGAAAGAGAGAGAAGGGGAGAGAAGGGGAGAATATAGGCCGATGAGGTCCGGAGAGAGAAGGAGCGAAGTTTGAAAGCTTTCAGTTCTTGCCTCCTGTTTCTCTCGCGTAAATGAAAAAATAGTTGGCAGAGCATCGTCGAGGTCGGACGATGAAAAATAGAAGGAAGGGAGAGCATGGGTGATGGAACAACGTGGAAACCATTTTTTGTCCTTCATTTCTCACTCCTTCCTTCCCTTGCGCCGCTGTGTATACCGCCGTGTCAACCTTCACTGACGATGAACAATCTTATTTGGCGCGCGATGCCATTGCCGGCATAAAGCTGGTATGAAATTCGGCCGACGGGGCCAACAAGCATTTTCAAAAATATTCCTCGTTCACTTAGATTTTAGAATATTTTACATTGTGTTTGAAATTTATTTGCTCTTGCGAAAGCCAAAAAAAAAAGTTTTCTTCCAAATTTTTTCTATTGAACCGCGCGCTCGCACTTTCCATTGGGTCTCAGAAAACATGTGAAACTTTTTAGAGAAACCTTCCTCGAAATGTTACGTTCCTTTCTACCGTCTGCAACATTTCAAATAACTTATTTCTTATTTTCTAAGAAACCCAAAGAAAGTTTTTCCCTTATTGGACCCGTCCAAGAGGATTACGCTAACAATAATTTCTCCATTGTAGTGCGATATATAATTTCTCCCTAAAATGGTGCAGTAAATTAATAGCATTTCTTCACAAAAATTGAAAAGTGATATTCTTCTTCACATCTCATAACATTTACATTGCCTAGAGAATGACGTTTTCATTCAGGCAGTAAAATCCAATGTTATTATCATGCGCTCATTTAACAAAGCTTCCACCTTTATGTGCAATGTGTGAGATGCGAGAAGACGCGCTAGGTTCATCGTACCGACAAGATCCAAAGATGCGCGATAAGCACGCGTCTCCCTCCGGCAGCTTATAGTGTTTATGCTAATAGCAATGTCCTTATCACATGCTTTTATCTTGCGATAAGAGAGAAATTTATCCCGCTGGCGAGCAAAATTTGCATAAGCATGTTTATCAACATTAATACATGCATTAATCCGCATTAATAATTATTTTTTATTGACTAATTATATTAGTCTTTTGACACTTGCAATACCAACCAAAGTGCGGGTTTCGCTGGTATTTTTTATAATGTTGGACATACAGATTTTGAATCTGCATTCGGTTCCGCGCAGCCCAATCAGGTAATGTACAATATAAGAATAGCATATAAAAAGCAAATAAAAAATAAAATTATTTTTTGGCTTTATTTATAGAGCATTGGATTGTGCAATCAGAACAAATCTGTTAATGTACCGTGAATATTGACTAGTACTGGTTTTGGTTAACCGGCGCTACAAATAATACCACTACACCATTATTCGGAAACAAAACAACCACTACTGGCTTCGGAACACATCTACGTTTGGTGCAGTCATGCCTTCCATGTTCGGAACTAACACTGGTTTTAGTTCGACTCCGATACTGGATTCTCATTGTTTAACTCGTTATTTAAACTGGGCAACTATCAGGATTTTCTTTTGAAACTATACCTGCATCTTTCACTGCACTTGGTAATTATTCTTGAATTAATACCTAGCTTCTTTAGTATCATTAGTACACATATGCATTAAGTGGAAAAAAAAATTTTTTAAAGCATGGATAACAGCTCTGGTTTACAAACTCACATTTCTTAGCCGACCTCACATAGCGGACACAAATTTTAAAAATTTATTTAAAATTTTAAAAAGGTCATTATATCTAAAACTGGTATCAGAATATTGAAATTGAAGAAAATATATTATTTTATAAACATTACGAAATAAAATTATCGTATTTTGAATTTTTTATTTAGTACATTGAAATTGTCAATAATGATTTCTTAATTAATTTTTTAATCATATTTTATTTGAGGTTTTCTATTTTTTATTTTATAAATTTTTTAATTTTTAGGTTAAAAATTTCTAAAATTTCTTGGAAAATTTTATATAAAATTTATTGGCGCAATTTGTTCACATGTGCAGTTTTCAATATATATAAACGACCGATTATTATTTAACATCGCGCGATATTAAATCGCCTGTTTGCAGTAAATTCTTTTTCGCAGTATCGACAAAATAATAATAATAAAAATAATCAGAAAAATATGTAATATTTAATAATCACAATATTATCATTATTATCTAATATGTAGTAAAATTTCTATAATTTTTTAAATAACTTTTCTAAATTTC